CTGGCAGCTTGATTTTAGCTTGCGAAAGTGAAGTGCAGGCCTTCACACAAATTTTGTGTGCTACCAGCTTTAGTTTGTATGTGAATGTTTACTGGTTCCTATATCTTTGTTCTCTCACAAAGACAGTTTGCGACCCAAACATTAGAAAAGAAGTTGTGCATTTGTGGTGAGGGAAACCTCTAAATTTGCTTCTTGAGTCTGTATAAGGGCTGCTCTCATGCTGCCACCCTCACCACCACCAATGGGTACAGGTGTAAATGGTTTGGGAGAAAGACATCCTTAACGTTACAATCTTCTCTTTAATGGAAATGTGCATTTGGTACTGTCTATTTAACAAGCTAAAAGAACAAAATTCATAGTATCCCTCACACAAACCCCAGAACTTGATTATCCTTTCACTAATGCAGGTATAAATCACCACTGAAGTCAACAGAGTTATTCCAGCTTTAATTCTGGGACATATGAGAGGAGATTGAGGCCCTTAAGGTATTTTGTATCTAGGCTATCTTTACTGATACACTGCCATGATCAGAAAGCTCTCCTCCTTTACAGGGAAAAGATGAGGGGAAAAAGCAAAGTGACACTAATCTTTTCCGAGTCAGTCTTTCCTCTTGGGTGTGACTACACGCAGAAAAGCTGGGATTTCCAGGTGATACTAATCAAAGATGGCAGAAGCAACTACAAAGCATACAAATAAAGCATCCAAGATTCATGCACTAAACCAACCATGACAGCACTCACAGCTTAGAACAGACAGCTGTGTTTCTGTGAGGGGCCTGGAACTTTGTTTCATGATAGTAACATGAAAAAAAACCCCATGTTATTATTATTATCAAACACATAATAAGATTAAAGCATAATGCACACTGATAGATGGTTATCCTACCTTCCAAAGACACCATGTATTTTACATAGGTGCCTTTTGTAGTCGGAAAAATATCATTTCTATAAATGGTCCTACCAAAAAGCTTATAGTCTGTCCTAGTTTTTTTAAAATAGCTGCTCCCAGATGTGTGTGATAATGTGTATGTGTGTCTGCATAGGTATGGGTGATTTCTGACAATTTTCTGTATCTTGGCTAAATCCAATACACAAATTCAGACTCCTGGGTTCCTTCCAGATTTACCAAAGGAGGGGGCTCAAAGACCTGTAATTTTTTTGCAAGAGAAAGCTCCAAAAGGTCATATCTGCAACCTAAAGAATATTCATTAGAAAAGTTAATGGCGGTCTTGTTCAGAATAAAACTTCTGGATAGAGAAAATATTCAATTATTGCTGGTGGAGCGGAGACAGTTATTCTTAAATATTTGCTGGTGCACTTATCCTTCTGGCAAGTTACAGCAACAAGGAAAGGCTTTTAATCTTTCAAAAGAATTTAGGAACCGCTAAAAGTTCATAATGAGAATGGGGAGTGGGTGTTACAGCCAGAATTACATACAGTTCTAAGATGGACCTGGTCTTATGGCATTTTGATTACAAGTTAGCTTTAACATGAGGGTTTTGGGGCTTTTTGTTCCAACTGCAGCAATACCTTTCATAAATTGTCCATTAGAATTAGTTCTATGCCTTGATCCAAGCCTTGTAGTCAACCATGTAGATGGCAGGTTGACTACAACCACAGTGATGCACTATATTGTAACAGTTGTGGCTAGAAAAAAAACAAACCAACAACAAACCACCTGAAAACATTTAGTTCAGAGTCAGATCTAAGAAAAACTCAACAGTTCTAGCATGTGCTTTTCATGCCAGAAGACTGAGTATGAAATTTCCCTGAAGCAGATCAGGGAGCCTGCTGTTGGCCTGGGGAGTTCATTCACTGTTCGTGTTATCAGACTGTCTCCATGTGCTGACAATAGAGGTGGTTACATCTCTGACCACATAGGTCATGTTTTCTTTTCCAAAGATGCATTCCTCTCACAGGAACTCTGTCTCTGGATAACTTATTCACTCACTTGATAATGATGATCTCCTTCTTGTTGCTTTTCCCCAGTACCCATTCTCCAGCCAATCCCCACACAACTGTTGCTCTTAGTACAGTGCATGTATGTGCACACCTGTGTGAGCTCCAAGGATCACTGGGTTCTTAACCCTCTTGACCTCACTCACAACTTTTCGCTGCAATCCATGCTGGTGTCATGGTTTCACCTTAGTTTTTCTCATCAGAAAGACAGGATGGGGCATTTTCTCCACCTCTTCTTTTTGTTCTCTCCTTGTTTTCCCTTGTGACTGTTCTCTTTGCAGAGTGGTGGTGAATGACTTTTTATGTGTATGGGAAAAGGCACAGACTTCTTTGCCAGAGAAGAATGTCTTCAAGCCAGAGCCCTGGTGGGAGGTTCTCTGCTGCAAACTTAACTTGACCTTTCCCAAACTCTGCTTCCAGTCCCTTGCTCTCACAGGTAGAGCTGACATGTTCATACCAAAACCCAAAAAACATGACACCAATTTCTCATTCTAAAAGCTGATGCAGCCAGCTTGGGGGTTGGAAGGAGCTCTGCCAGCTGCCCCATCTTTGGCTGCAGTAAGGGCATATCTGCTGAGTGCTAATCCAGCCACTTGTAAGAGACCATGTAAGCTTTGCTTATTTGTCTTTGCCTTACTTAATTACAGAGAGTTCTCCAGAGTTTTCCCCAAGGTTTTATGAAAATCATCTGGTATGGCATCTAAAAGATTTAATGGAGTAAACAAGAAAACAAAAATCTGCAGCTTAGAAGGCCAAATTTCAATTTGATTTATTTTACATTCCATGGAGTTTCACTGATGACAGTGGTTTCGTACAGGTTATAAGTGCAAAAGAATGTGACCCAGAGACAGGCTCCATGCTCTCTTTGGCAAATGCTGTATCCCATCTGTTTGTCACTATTAGAACATTTCTTCATTGGCAGATGAAAAACAATATGCACAAAAGGATGCAGTAAACTATTCCATACTATCATCAATACAACCAAACACAAGCAGTCATTGCTCTGATAATGATGTAGTCTCTCACTTTGGCCAACTGTCAGAGGCCTTCAACACAACACATTCAGTGACTAAGTGGTGTACTGGAGGCACATGAAATGGCAAAGTCTTTGGAACAGGAACCAAGAGAAATGATTGCATGTCTTTGCATTCTATTTAGAAAATAGTGCCTTGTGATAAAAAAAATCTTACTTTGTGGCTCCTCCTGTTACTTAAGGGGTTTTTTTTTGTTATGTCAGGCAAAAAATTAAAATCTTAAATAAGGTATTGTATCTTCATGTTGTGCATCTGTTTTATCCTTCAGTCGAGTTGAGATGAAATTGGATCAACTGGAGCATTTAAAATGACCTGTATTTGTAGTATCTTCTCTGTGAGCCCTGAAGTGAAATTCAGAAGAGGTTCTAAGCAGGCTGAGGGGGAGTTATTTAAAATGAGCATTTAGAAGGACTGCAAGATTCATAGAACCTGTTTAAACTTGAGATATCCTTTTTCTGGTGAGCTGTTTTCTGATGACAATATATAGATGTCTCGTCCATCCAAAGGATCCAGAATCCCTCAGTGACAAATACATGCCAGAGATTTTAGCTAACTTGCAATTATTCTTGAAGATTATGGATGTAGTTATTTCAAAAACCAAACAACCCAGCTGCAGTTGCAAATTTTTATTTGCAATATTGGAAGCTGTATTAAAGTCTGGCTAAAAGCTAACTTCCAGCTTGAGTAACCATGCTTTGAAAATTGTTTCTAAATTCCTCATCTGTAGAGCTTTAACCAGGTCTTTAAGGGGGATGGGAACCTGAATTTAGGAAACCTCATGGCACATACTATGTCATGTTTATAACACAAACAGTTGTTCTGTGGTGTATACAGGGTTAGTTCTGCTCATGGAAAGGAAGTGTTGATTGTTTTGCAGGAGAAGGAAACCCCTGAACTAAATATAGGGAAGATGCCCATTTGTATCTCCATCTAATGACAATATAAGCCCCTCTGCTCTCCTGGCAAATATATATGCAGGGTGTCCACTCAAAGAAAAGGTGCAGCAGTAAACACAAGATCTATGACTGAATGTACCTATGTGGTATTTAGAGTGTAGAAGTTAAAATACATCTGCTAGAAAGGCATCAAGCACCATGTGAAGCTGCTCAGGCCTCCAGTGGCACTGTGATCCAGCACACTGTTAAAGCACGGCTCTCTTCCATTACCAACTGGTAATGGTGTTACCCTGACGTGTCTAAAGCCATTCATAAAATTAGCTAATGAATTTACTGTACATAAATTACTCTGTGGTACTCCAAGGGCAGCTGTACACCACTCATTTTGCATGTAGGCAAGGCCGAGTGCTGCTCTAAGGTATTTTAGTGAATGTTTTCCAATCCTCCAGGTCATGGCAGCCCACTGTTGTGATAGGACAAGGAATAGTGGGTAAAAATTGAAAGAGAGGAAATTAGGTTAGGTATTAGGAAGAAATTCTTTACAGTGAGGGTGGTGAGATAGTGGAACAGGTTGCCTAGAGAAGTTGTGAATGCCCCAACCCTGGAAGTGTTCAAGCCCAGGTTGGATGGGGCTCTGAGCAACCTGGTCTGGTGGAAGGTGTCCCTGCCCAAGCCAGGGGGTTGGGACTAGATGAGGAGGTTCAGATTAAATACTAGAAGTATTTTCACTGTCAGGGTGGTCAGGCATTAGAATACCTTACCCAGGGAGGTGGTGGAGCCACCATCCCTGGAGGCGTTTATGAGGTGTCTGGATCAGGTGTTGGACCATGTGGTTCAGTGGTTTAGGGGTTACAGTGGCAGTGGTGCATGGACAGTTGGACCTCATGATCTTAAATGTGTCTTCTAACCTTGATTCTATGATTCTGTCTTTAAGGTCTCTTCCAACCCAAGCCATCCTGTGATTCTATGATTATTCACCACCAGCTGGCCCTGGCAGTGCACAGTCCTCAGAGCTGAAGGGCAGTTTCGGTGACGGCCCCTCGCTGTCACAAAGGACACACAGCCCTGTCTGTGCGCGGCTCTGGGATCAGAGCAGGCCCCTCTCACCGCTTCACGGGCGCTGTTTCCCGTCCCGACGCCCAGGCCTTGTCGCCCGGGCCCGCGGGGGCACCGGGGGCTGCCGGGGAGCCCCGGTGCGGGGTGCGGGGTGCGGGGCGCGGGGGCCGGGCCGGGCAGGGGGTGTGGAGCGCCCGCCTCTCGCGGCTCGCACAGCCGGGTGCCTCCCGCGGGCCGGGCGGTACCCAGAGTGCAGCAGGCGGGCGGGCGGCGCGGCCGGGACCCACCGCCGGCACCCACCCACACCCTCCCCCAGCCCGGCTCTCCCCCGGCAGCAGCGGGAGCCGGGCCCAGGCGGCGGCGGCGCGGCCCAGAATGCGACACTGAGATGCTTCTTCCCCCGGCAGCGGCGGCGGCGCCTCGGGCCCAGGCGGCGGCGGCCCCCGCGTGGATGCGGCTCTGGAGCCGGCGCTTCGCCCTGCACAAACATTTCTATAGGACTCATTCGCCCTGCTGAGGAGATCGGCCCGGACCGGCCGCTGCCCACCCCTCCCTTCACCCCGCCGCTCCCCCGGACACCGCCGGCGCGGCCCGGCCCGGCCCGGCCCGCATGGAGGCCCCTGGCGGCGGCGCGGCGCCGCTGAGCCCCGCGCTGGTGGGGCGGCTCCGCCGGGAGCACGAGAAGGTAACGGAGGGCAGGAGGGGCCGGGCCGGGGGCGCGGGGGGGGCCGGGCCGGGCCGGGCCGGGGGTCCCGGGGCGGGGGGCGGGCACGTGGCCACGTGACGTCACGGGCGGCGGGCGCGGCGGGCCGGGGGCAGCGGGGCTGAGCCCCTGGGACCCCCTGGAGCCCCGGGAATGTCGGGAGCCCCGGGAGCCCCGCGGGGGATCGGGAGCGGCGGCGCTGCTGCGGAGCCCTCGGGGGACGAGCCGGGAGCGGAGGCCCTGCCCGCGCCCCCCGGCCCGCCCTGCGCCCCCCGCCAGCCCGTGAGCGCGTGTTCGCTCCCTGCGCTCGCCTGGCCGCGCTGTCCCCGCCGCGGTGACACCTTCCAGCCCGCCCGCACGGCCCGGCCGTGTCTGTGACCTGCGTCATCCCAAAGGGCTCCTGGGCCGGGCTGAAGAGCGGGTGTATCGATGTTGGTGATGTTTGAAATGGGTTGGAAAGAACCAGGCTCTCCTGCAGAAATTATTCCCGAGAGTTCGGAGGCTAGTTCCACCTGAGACCATGGTGCAAAACTCAAGATACTTTTCCTGTTTTGTTTTTTTGGGTTTTTTTTGTAAGAATTACACTCGTGGTCTAAGGCAAGTGGGCTCTGATAACTTAGCGAGTGCAATTCTGGGTTTGTAGGTCTCAGCCTTACCCTGAACTCTGGGTGGGTGCAAGAGTCACTGTGGGACTAACTCATGGTCATGTTCAATATATTATTTACACAAGTATGTTTGCCCAGTCAGCCTTTCACCTCTTCTGCTCATTTTTCTCACATTATTAAAATTTTTTGTGCCAATTCTAAGGTGAACAGCAGAGCTCCTCAGTTATAACAGAGGACTTTATCTTCAGCCTGTATTTTGTCACACACTGGTTTAGTTAAGAGTCAGAAAACTGAATAACACCTGCGTGGTATAAAAATCTGGAATATTGTGTGCAAAAACATGTCTACCTTTGAATAGCCCCCTCGATCATTACTAAAAGATCTGCGTAGCCAACTGACCACTAATGTGGATGAACAGTAGGAGGATCTGCTGGAATACTCCACATCGTCCATTCTGCACAGAGAGTAACCCATTATACCAATAACTGGTGATAGTGGCTCGTCAGCTTGGGCTTCTTCAGTTAATTTTCAAGGTGGTGGAATCTGGTGAAGAACAATTTCCCTCGTACATTAGTGTTGGTCAGGCCTAATGCCTAAGTACATGTCTGTCATAGCCACGTACAGTTATTCCCAGTTCATGGTAAGACCCCTCTGTAAGCAAGTTTAAGACTCTTCTTGAACAGATCTGCTCCAGTGGAAAAGAGGCCCAGGAGACCATTAATTAAGCCTCTGTTAGGCTGATGTACCAAAGTTATATTTTATCAAAGGGAAACTTTACATAATTTCTGCAAATTGGCTAAAAAAAATGGAGCACTTCAGCTTCAATATCAAATTATACTAAAGAACTACATATCTTGGTTACAATGGAGTGTCATGATGAAGATGTAGTAGACTTTCCCTCTATGCAATGAATATATATAATGGGATTACAACAGTATTTTCAGTTACGAAAATATTGTATTTTAAGATGGAGGAGGTCTTTTCATTTCAGCTGCCTCTTTTCAGAGATTCATATGTTTCTCATAAAATTACTGAAGTTGAAGGCTCATGTTTTGGTTTCAGCACAGAGATGAGGGAGAATTAGTTATCCAGCACTTTGATAAACTGGTAATTATAGTGTGAGAGTCATAACAAATAGTAAAGTTATTTGGCCAGAACAATATCTCTATATACTGGCGTTTAAGCAGGCAAATATATTTATTTTAATTAATGTGATGTTGTGCTGTCCCAGTGACGCTTGATTAGGTATAAAGACACCTATTTATTCCCATTAGTCTGAAGGCAACCTTAAGTGTAATAGTGGAAGAGAGCAATATCTATTGCCGCATTAAGGATAACATTTTAATCATAGTTGATTATTTTAACACTCGGGCCATTGTACAACTCTGGTTCAGCCATAGTCTTGAGCTTTTAAGTTCTAAAGAGCTGCTCTGAAGAACTTGTGAACTGAGGCTTCCTTCTTGTTTGAAAATATTAAAAGAACAGGATGTTCATGACTTTCTGTCTTCAGTTGGATTGAGGCTGCAACTTCCAGGTTTAGGACCCCTGGTGAAAAGTAATTTGAATTCTTGTTTAGGACTGCTTGCCTGTTAGACAGATTTCATCTTGTTAATTTGTGGTGATAGTAAGACCAAACTATTAAAAGCAATTTTCAGTGCTCCTACTAAAGGCACTTTGTATAAAAACATGACTTAGAATGTGTATCTTGGGGATAAATTATAGAAGAATATCTAGTAATTTTCATGATAAAGACCATCATTGTAAGCACAGTGCCTGCGTAAAGTTTTGAATATTTCTGTAAGAAGAATATAATGTATGTATCATGGATTACTTGCAAAAGCAATATATGTTAGCTGAAAATACTGTGGTAAATCTATTGCAAGTTAGTACAGGAATTATAAAATGAATATTTAAATAGGAGGGTTCTCATGCTATAGACCCTGCGTTTGAATATATTATTTGATATACATTTATTCCTGCAATCAAATGGGTTGGGATTATTGATAGGTAGTTGACAGGTCAGATCTGTATGATTTGGTAAGACTTGCATCGACAGTGAATTTACAGTGGGATGATATGTTCTATAGTTTCTGAGCAATGCAATGACGATATGTGTAATGGGAGACATTACAGAACCAATTAGACCCAAGAGACATTTGCAGAGTGCAGACACAGCCATGGAGAATCTAAAGGATTCCAGTATTAGCTGGCAATATGATTTTTTTTTTTTGGTATTGCACTGGCAAACACATTTTTTTATTTTCCTTTTAGGGAAATTAGGACAGGGAAGTGACTCTCCTGTCACTCATCATGACAACAAAGCACAATTAGATTGAGTGCAACTCTTATCGTAACTCATTGGCCACTGTGTATTATGGCATATTCTTAATTTTTATGAATTTAAATGGTAGAGCTGTATGATCTTTAATTTCCAAATAGTTTTCAAGATCCTGAGTACTTGCAGTTTTTTAACAGTTAAACAACTTGTAGGTGGGTTATGGGGAAACAAATGACAGGATCCCAAACTTACACTCTTAAATTGTTTTCTCTTCTTACATGAATTACTTCTGGGGCTGACCGCTTCTGTTTAAGTCTTTTTCAAGTAATATCTGTGCTGTGAAATCAGCAGCTTGGCAGTTTTAAAGTTGTTCCTGCAGTTTCAGAAAGAGCAGTGAGCCTGAGTAGGGTCTGGTACACTCCATGCTGCTGCAAGGGCTGTGGACTCATGTGAGACTACAGATGAGTGGGCTTTCCAGTGCAGTTTGTGCCATGGTTTGCACTTTTTCCAGCCTGTGTCCAAATTAACAGAATCTAGAGAAAGCCTGGGTATGAGACACCAGTGCAGTGGGACTTCATTTGGCACAATAACTGTTTGAGAAAAGGGAAGAGAGTGTCTGAAGCTTGGTTTGATCTGCTTCTTTTGAAAAGAACCTGTCTGAAGCTTTATTTGCCATATTCTTTCTTAAAGATACCTGGACCTTTTCAGAAACTTATGATGACATACACTCCATCCTGTCCAGTGGTTCCAGTGATGTTTTCTCATGTGCTGCTCTCTAGTAAAAGGGCTAATTCAGTCATTATCTGGAAGCTTTTGATGGAATGCTTATTGTTCCTCCAGTGTTAATTGATCATCACTTTTACTTTTTTAGTCAATATTTGTCTATGTTCTTATTAGTATGAATTAAATACTCACTAGTTTATATAGTGTCAAGACTTGTGAAATAAATTAACGGATCTTCAGTAGGTGTTTTTTTAATGGTAATTGAAGGCAAACTATTCACAAAAGAATTTAAAGAGCATTGCTTTTATTCTGGAGTGGGCAAGCCTGTGTGCATCCAGCCTCATTGGTAACTAGAATGTGTAGATGAGCTTATATGCACAAAATTTAAATGTGACTAAATTGTGCTGCTCCTAATAGGTGTCTGTAGGTGCTCTGAGTAGATGCAGTGACCACTGTACAGGTTCTGGTTTTGTGGTTCCTCTTGTCTGTTGGCGTGGGCTGCAGAGTCACCATCATAAAATGGGTGAACCCTCCACAACTTCTGTACTAACTCTTGGGATCAGGCTGCTGTGGGGTGAGAGGAATCCAGTAACATGTGCCAGAATGGTCATGGCAGATGCCAGCACGAATGTGGCAGGAGAGCCAGTGATGGGGAAACTGGACTGGCCCTTTGAGCCGTGGTCAGGTCAGAGCAGTTGTGAGCAACAGGCTCAGACACTTGTTCAGAATTTTTGTAAATTATCACATGAATTGTCCACATGACTTTAATTTGAACAACTTTTTAATCTTAGGGGTTTTTTATTATTATTTTTATCTGTATCTGCTTTTTTCAGCCTTTCAGCAGTTTTAGGGTGGCACATTTGTGACGCTGCTCAGTGCCTGGGCGGGGATTCACAAAACCAAACTTAATTGTTGATATTTTTGCTTTTTTGTTTCCTCTTTCTGGAGTACTTTCCAGCCAATGTGGGACCCTAGTGAGGTTACAAATGTCTGCCAGCAGGTTGTGTCAGGTTGGAAGGGTAAGACAGTGGAACTGAGTAGCAGGAGACAGGGAGGAGTGATGCCTGTTTACTCAGGACTGTGGCTGTGGTTGAACCACAGCCTGCAGGTATGTCTGTGAGGAGGTGCCACAGCTCATGGCAATTTTAAGCTAGTTAAGCTCAGGTATTGCTGGCAGCACAGTTGTTGCACCATAA